TTTCCTGTTTTACTTTGAAAGTCTGTGTTATCTTAGTGTGTTCAGTTTACGTTTCCTTGTCTCGTCAGGTCTAATTTGCCCCAGCTGTGTTTCCCTCCTGTGGTCCATTCCCTGATTGCTCCTTCTATGTATTTAAACCCTGTGTTTCAGTGTGTCATGGTCACGATCTCCCCCGTGTTGTAAATAGTTTGGTGTTTTGTTGTAAATAAATAGTCTGTTGTAAAAAGCTGTGAATGGGTTTGTTAATATTTTCGTTTGAGACCCCTTCGTTTTGGGATTTTGGTGGAGAGCTTAGTGTTTTTCTTCGTGGTTTTATTTTCCTTATCTTTGTTTTTCTACGTTGCACCCCGGTTGCCTAGGCCGGGGTGTAACACTTTAATGGGTCACCCCTGACTTCTGTCAGTGGAGCAGAGCTGACGCTCCTCCTTCAGACATTGGCTGAAAAGAAAACTCTAACCTGAGACCACACAAGTTCATCGCTGGTGTATTTTCAAAGTTAACATCGATGGGCTCATCTGACCCGCTGCTCTCACCGTCGCTCATCTTAAATGGTCAGATTGAAGACCCTGCCTAAATGCTTGTTACACTGAGTCTTAATAAGTGATTTAAGTGCATGAAAATCCATGCGTTGAACTCTGAGCCATTCAGACTCTCTAAGCAGCTTAATTTTAGCCAATGCAGTTCATTATAATAGACCCACATGTCTGAGACAGGTCTTCAGAATCAGGTCAGAGTGCCCCAAAATCATCACAGTTAGCTTCTTTGTCAGATATTCCTCCTTGAACATGGCAATCATTCTAGATTTTCTTTATGTCCTCTTCATAAAATAATGTTGATCACTGTGTATTATGTTACCATTAGCAAGTCTAAATATATAACACAGAATAGAGAATTCATCATTTCCTATAATGACTCTCTTTATCACACAGTTTTATCGTATTCATGCTGCACTGGTCTATGTGGCAGCTCTCTTGCTCATGGAGCCAATCAGAATTGAGTAGTATAAAAGTGAGGAATGAGTTAATTATGTCTCATCACTGGCTAAAGCTCTTCTCAGGCAGAGTCCTTATGTGGTAATGTCTTTACTCTGTCCAATCACAGCTGAGCTCAACGTTTTTCCAAACAATTAACCACAAGTTTGTGTTTTTCACAATACGTTGAAAAGACGTTGATAAAACACTGTGTCAGTACACACACACACACACACACACACACACACACACACACACACACACACACATATTCGTGCATGAAATAATAAATGTATCAGCACACAGTCTGTTTCCCATCTGCACCATGGGGAAGAAATCTGATGTGGAAACTGCAGCAGAGGCTTATGGGAAATTCATAAGGAGTTTTATATGTACGCCCGTGTGAGTGTGTGTTTGAGACAAGTGGAACACACACAAAGACATGCACACACAGGCGTATGGCATGTGGAGTGTGAGTTAATCAATGTCGTGAATGTGAAGCTTTGACCTTTTCAAGCTGAACCACCTGCTGGTATAGGAAAAGTGTGTGTTTCCGTGTGTGTGTACCGTCTCTCTCTCTGCATTGTGTATGAGCTCCTGAAGAAGCCCAGCAGCTCGTCCTCGATGGCAGCATCAAAGCTCACGTTTAGCCGGTAAACCCTCATCGGCTTCATCTCGCGGTGCAGCGCCACCACGTACATCTGATTGGCTGGGAAGGGGAAGTGTCGGTGGATACGCATGACTCCGCCCCCGGGCCTGTTGGAAGGACGACCTCCAACACCGCCCTCAGCAGTAACTGTCACCCGGTCCACCTGATGGATGGAAGAGAAAATAGGATAAAGACATCCACACACCAACTGTGTCTCCACAATAAGACTCATCTACAAGTGCAGACCAGAAGAGTGAAATATGTTTGGATATGCTATAATCAGATTTCCTGTTTTATTATCATTAAATAAATAAAATCTTGGTAGCGATAATAGCAAATCACCCAGAAACGCAGTAATCCATCAACAAATTGAGTTAAGGAGAAGCCTTACAGAGAGGAAACATGAATGCGAACAGCGCAGGATTTAAACATTTAAAAGCTTCAGGATATTTAAAATTCATTTTGATGAGTGACACTCGATGTTAACAGCAAATCTGCAAAGAAACTCTGCAGGGGTTGTTTAATAGGATGCACGTGTACACGCGTACTCGTGCATCCTAAACTCCTCAAACTCAGACACACGCTCACTCACATCCAGAGCACCTCTGAAAGCTGCTGACTTCCTGTTGCTGCTCATGTTTATGTCATTTCCCGCCTGAAACATGACAGCAGTGGTTGATTTCTGAGGTGGATTAAAGCAAACAGCAGCTGATCCTACAGGTAAGTGTGTGGGAAATGTCTGACCTAGGGCTGTGTGATATGAACAAAATCTCATATCCCGATATAAGAATTCTATCGTCCCGATAACGATATAAATCACAAAAATGTAACATTTTCTGTAAATTCTGTGAATCTCAGGCAGCTCAACTTGTGGGAAGTGTTTCCAGCGGCGCGTCATGTAGCTGGAGTCGAGTGTTTTAACTGATGCATGAAACTATACATTTTTAGCCATAAGTTGTAACGGCCGCCGTTTTCTTTGTAAGTATTTATTACACGGCGTGCTGCGGGGAAAAGCCTATTCTAACGTTTGAGTTTAAGGTTTTTATTTTTTAACACCTGGCGGCTCCTTTTTACTTCTCATCCATAAATAATCTGCTCTTTCACGTGATTTCATTTATTTTGAAAAGTCTCAACAGGATCTTGAGCTTTATTGTGAAAGGTTTATGTGGAACATAAACAAGCAATGCTGTTACCGTCGTTGTTGCTAACCACAACGCATAAAAACAGGCGCTTGTCCGTCCGTATGGTGGTTATATTAAATATAAGAGAAAGAGAGAACTTTAAGAAATTAATATAGCCACTACAGTGACCATCAAAACCGTGAAAAAATATTACCGTAAACAGTTTTGCGGCACCACGAAACAAATGACAGCGTAAAATGAAACGATACTTTTTTATATCGTCATCTGATATATATCGTTATATCGAACAGCCCTAGTCTGACCTTTTCAGAAAGAAAGTGAGAAGCAGCTCTTCCAAAAGGTGGTGACTTTAAAATCAAGACTTTACCTGAAAGCAGTCTGCAAATAAGTTATTCAGTGTTCAAAAGAGAGGAGGAAAAAGAAGACGAGTCGACTACCAAAGGTAGAACATAGTTCAAACATGAGCTCAGTCTAGTGGGTGAGGTTAAACACGGGCTATTTAGATATTATGTACGTAACTAACTGAATTTCCTGGAGGAACCTCTATTTATCTATTTAAGAGCTAAATATAATGGTCAATCACATTCCTCGATAATCAAATTGCATTTTAAATGTTTCTAAAGGATGAGTCACCGTGTATAATGTACACACATATTAGTTGATGATACAGTCACACTTCACCAGTGTTGGGAAGGTTACTTTTAAAATGTATTCCACTACAGATTACAGAATACATGCCCCAAAATGTATTTTGTAACGTACTCCGTTACGTTACTCAATGAGAGTAACATGTTCTGAACACTTAATATATTATCATGCTTTTTACAACCACATGAAGGTACTATTGCTGTGTGATTTATTACTCGTACTCAGTGTTGGTCAAGTTACTTGAAAAAAGTAATCAGTAACTAATTACTGATTACTTCCCCAAAAAAGTAATCCCGTTACTTTACTGATTACTTAT